GGGGGTGGGGGGTGTAGTGTAGGGGACAGGCTTCCAGGGTATACCCTTTGGTTGGTTGATGATGCATGGAGGGGATTGTAAGCATGGCAATGAAACGATATACGATAGAATGAATGTAAAACTAGTGTTCTGCCATGTAAACTATCATATAATTCACAATAAAACACTAAAAAAAAAAGATACATGGGACAGAGTATTCTAGCGTTCATCTGGCAAAAGTCCCAATGTGCTACCAGCTCCTCCTTAAAGTTGATTCAGCAAGACTTCAACAGTTTTCACTCCCTGCTTAGTAACACCTGGAGAAGGTCAAAGGCCCTAGAAGGATATCCCAATCCAGTGTTTTTGTCCTGTAGAGCGCAGGTCCAAATGCCTGTCAAGGGCAGTCTTCAAAGTGGAATAGACCACAGGCAACATGAGCCCAGCCCTTGGACTCTGCCACCAAGTTACAGCCCAGCTACCTCCTGACTCCCAGCTGTGGGAGTTCTTTCCTCAGGCTACCCCCACCCCATTTGCTCACCATTTCTGAGAGGTCAGTTTCATAGGAAGAAAACCTAGGACTGCACGTCCTGACCGAGACATCCGCCTGTCTCAGAAAATGCCTCATGGGTCAATACTGTTCCCCGGGTAGCAATACCATTCAGCATAGAACTGCAGAATCAGATTGGGGATTGAGTTTACACCAACTCCCAAAACATGGGAAAATGCAACAGAAATGGCACACTTCTGTTTCCCGTTCTTTTTTGCTCCACAAATACTTCCTTTGTGCCTGATGCATAACTTCCGTTCCTTCTCCCTCCAGCCTCAGTGTCCTCCTATCTTACTGTGGCTTCCAGGTCCTCTGTCTTGTTGCGAAGATGGTCCAAATTTTCTCCTCGGGCCAGGATCCGCTCCACATTCTGGGTCATGATATTCTTGACGCCTTCAACCTCGTTCTGTAGGTTGCGCACGCGGTCATTTCCTTCACCTCCACTGGCCTCCTCCTGAGTAGCAACAACACAGGGTTAATGGGGCCCAGGGTACAGGAACTGAAAGCTGGTTTCAGAAGCCAGAGGAGGGCAAACTTCAGAGTTTTAGTAATACATGAATTGTTTCCAAAGATAACGTTTTTGCGTACTACTTGTGCAATCAAATAAAAATTTATTTTTAAGCCCAAGAAGGTGAGATCTAGATCGAGTAGAATACATTCATGTTTAAGTTCTCAGGTCTCTTGTCACGAAATTAATTGCATCTCCAAAAAAATATGTGTCAACTTGGGTGGGCCACGCTTCTCAGTGGTTTGGCTGTTTGGTTGTAAACTGACCCCTCCTCATGATGTGATCGGATATGGTAAGCCATTCAGCTGTAAGAGGACAACAAAGCCCTAATTTAATAGGAGTTTCTATGGGGTTTGCCTGCCATTTTAAGGGATTAAAGAGAGTAAAAAGCAAAGACAGACCTACTATCACCAAGAATGAAGAGACAGCAGTGGAGTTTGTCCTTTGGACCAAGGTCCCTGTGTTGTGAACCTCCTTGAACCAGAGGAAGATTATGCTAACACACATGGAGATCTCCAAGGAATGCTGGGCACAGGGATGCTGAAAACAGCAAGGACCTTCCTCCTAAACTGTGAACCAACAGAGAGATAAAGCCATCCACTGGAGGTGTTTGTTTGTTACTGCAGCACTAGATAATTAAGACAGCTCCTGACAAGGAAAAGAAGCACACTAATAAATCCCTCTCCACGGCTTCCTGGCTCCACAGAGAGAGTCACAGAAGACAGCGGAACTGGCATCCCAGGTTGTCCGCTCTCCTCAAGAACACACCAAGTTTAACAGATTCTAGAACCATCCCTGTCTTTCCCTGGTCCCACAAGGCCCTCATTAAAAGTTCAGATGCTCTGAGAAGTTCAGATTCTCATGGGCTCTAGACTTTCTGAAGCCACAGAGAGTGGATAAACTTCTAAAATGATGCTGTGAAATCATCTGTAAACTTTAAACCAGAAGTATCTCCTGAAGTCATCTTAAAACTGAACAGCTTAACTAGTTTTCTTTTTAAAAATAGTCTGCCTTGAGCATTATGCTCTTTTATGTGAGATTATATCACAACACCAACTCAAAAGATAAGACCCTTAGGGGTAATGAATTTATGTCATTTAAGGGAAAAACAGCTCAGAAAATAAGGTTGCACAATTCAAAGAATGTAAGAGCACCCCCTTATTAAATTAGGGCTCCCAACATGAGATGGAGTCCTGGTGTGGCACTGTAGGATAAGCAAAGGGCCATAAGGTCAGGTCGAACCACAAGGTCAATGGTTCAAACTCAACAGCATGCTCATCAGAAACCCTATACAGGGTCACTATGGGTTAGAACCAACTTGATGACACTTAACAACAACTTTCATATTGGAGTCATGTTGTGATGCTGCAGGTTAATGCACTAGACTGCAAGGTCAGTTTGAATTGCAAAGTTGTTGGTTCAAGCTTACCAGTCACTCCTTGGAAACGCTGTACAGGGTAGCTATGAGTCAGAAATGACTGGGCAGACCCTAGACGATGAATACAGAAAATTGGAAAATAACTGATGCATTTGAATTATGGTGTTGATGAAAAATATTGAATATACCACGGATTACAGTTCGAAACTACCAGCCGCTCCGTGGGAGAAAGATGAGGCTTTCTGCTCCCGTAAAGATTTACAGCCTCAGAAACCCTGTACAGGGTCGCTATGGGTCGGAACTGACTCAACGGCACTTAACAACAACAACCAGAAGACCAAACAAGCCTGTTTCGGAAGAAGTACAGCCAGAGTTCTCCTTAGAAGCACTACTTGTCACATTCTTTGTACATATTATCAGGAGGGACCAGTCCCTGGAGAAGAGCATCTTGCTTGCTAAGTATAAGGTCAATGAAAAAGAGGAAAACCCTAAGATGGATTGACACAGTGACTGAACAACGCACTGAACATAACAAGTGTGAGGTGGCACAGGGCTGGACAGTTCTGTTGTACATAAGGTCACTATGACTCAGAACTGACTTGATGGCACCTAACAACAAGAAGTCAGCAGAAACATACGAGATGGTTTCTAAAAGCTTGAGGAAAGTTTTCATTCAATTTTCCATAAACTTTTTGAAGCCCCTTTGTAAATAAATTGAGATGACCAATTCTTACTTGACCATGATAAGGAAGACGGGGCAGGATCAGGCCTCCTTGACTCCCAGCTCTGAGGCCATGTAACTCCAGAGAAACTTTTAGTGAACCCTTCCCAACTAGGTGACGAAAAAAAGAAAGTAAGAAAAAGGCAGTCTTCTTATAAGTATCAGGACTCCTGGTGTGGCGCTGTAGGATAAGTACTAGACTGTGAACCACACGGTCAGCAGTTCAAACCCAGCAGCTGCTCCTCGGAAACCCTATACAAGTTAACCATGAGTCAGAACTGACTCGATGGCACTTAACAATAACAATTATATTATCAACAAATTGAGTGAATGACTACCCATCATGGAAAACTGTAAACAAGTTCTATTACAGAGGACTTCAAAGCAGCCCTAAGTTAGAAATCACAATGAAATGCACTTGAAGTGGTCTGAGAAACACATTTTCAACTCTAACCAAAAACTTAAGGTTAAATCCATATGAATGAATGGGGAGAATTGAGAAAAGACTGAAATTTCCAGTTGGTAAAATCTTAAATTGCTAAAGTTATATTAAGGAAGATATGGGGAATATTAAAAATACAGAATATTTAAACCAACATTATTTTAACAATAATTATACTTTACATAAAATATTTCCCAAGAGCCTTAGTTAACTTGCTGATGGTGGTTATGTGCTGTGGAATGGGTTCCAACTCATAGCGACCCTGTACAGGGTTTCAGAGGCTATAAATCTTTACGGGAGCAGAAAGTCTCATCTTTCTCCCACGGAACAGCTGGTAGTTTTGAATTGTTGACCTTGCGGTTCGCAACCCGATTCGTAACCACTAAAGGTAGTTAAATGCCGCTAAATCAGATCTGACTCATATCGACCCTATAAAGGGTTTCTGAGGAGCAGCTGGTGGGTTTGAACTGCCAACCTTATAGTTAACAGGCTAGTGCTAAACTACACTACGGCATCACACTAGAGTCCAACTTATTGATATTAAGTTACCATTATTATAATTTAAGTTAATATACTTAAATTACAATGAAAATTAACTTTATATACTTTTATGTATTTTTGCTTTTTAAATGACAGAAAAAGTATCCAGATGTGTGTGTATATGTGTGTGTGTGTGTGTGTGTATGTATGTGTGTATCTAGGTCTGATAGTGAGTATGCTCATTTATTGCCACTTAAAAGGCTGTACTGCAAGAGATATCAGAACAAAGAAAATGTCTTAAAAGGTTTTAAAAGGAAATTTATTTGATATGTTCAAAGTTTTTATTTTTATACAGCTAGAATTTAATGGGATATTTTATAAGATTTTTAAGCCACTCCTTGGATACCTATACTGGGTCATTCTGAGTCAGAACTGACTCAACAGAACTTAACAACAACCGTAAAAGAAAGAGTCCTTCAAAATCAATTGCCCATCTACATTGGTCTACAGTGAATGGAAAGGGGGAAAGGCAGCAATGAAGATATGGGCTGAGTTTGACCTCATTCTTTAGACCCCTGCTGACTTGGAGATTAGAGAGAGGAGAGGAAGGGCTGGTTGGTCTGAATTATGGTGACACTGGGGTCTCCTGAGCCCATGGACGAGGACATAGTTATGGAGGGCTAGGGCTGAGAGTGAAACATCCAGCTGATATGAAGTTAGGGAAGACCCACAAGAATGCCCAAACTTGTAGACAGAACTGATTTGACCTAGCTTCGATGGCTTGATGATCACTACTAGACTAGAAGAAGATTAAAAAAAAAAAAAATGGATAAAGGAAACAAGTGTAAATTTGATGAACGTGATCTAAACTTATGGATGTAGTAGCTGTAAATAACAAGTGACAGAGAAGGAGTCTTCAACCTATCCCCTCTACTCAGGGTTGATAGGGACAGGCAGCTTAGACAT